CCGAACCCGGGGCCTTGGTGTTATCAGCACCACACTCTCCCGAGTGAGCCACGGGCCGCCCGCGAAAGTGTCTTTATATCACAGTGCCTGGCACAGGGTTATTAATGGGCAGTTGCCCTGTCCCCCGCGTCATAATTTACAAAGCAGTACCTCTAAAGCCAGATTCAGGTTCTATCCTTAAACTCCGCGGCGGGGCCATTTACAACTGTGGGGGTCGGGGCCGCTTGAGCTGGTGGTCACTGTTGCTTCGGACGCAGGTTTGGTTTTGATTGGGGCTAACACTTCGGATAGGCTGTCTCTGGGTGCCGAGGCACGACCGCGGGTGCAGCCCCACCCCTATTTCAGGTGTTCGGCCGGGGCTCTCGAAAACAGTCCGCCCCGCACAAAGATGGCGCGGGGGCGGGCTGAGCCAATGGGAGGTGGCGTTGCTCCCCGTTGCCTAGATAACAGCCAATGGGCCGCGGGAATTGTGGCCAGTGCGGCTGCACGGGATGGCGGCGTCAAGTGGGGCAGGCGCTGCTGGAGGCGGCGGAGTGGAAGGTGGCAACGCGGAGCCGGGCCGAGCAAGGGTTCGGGCGGCTGGAGCCCCGCGTCGGGGCGTGACGGTCATCCCGGAAGGCCGAGCCCAGGTTGGCTGGCGGCGGGGTCGGAGGGGGCCGGGAGAGTGTGGTCGGCCAGGTAGGGACTGAGGAGCCGAGCAGGAGATGACTGGGGCTGGGAGCGCAGTTCCATCCTGGACGCGCTGACCGGAGGGCAGCTGCCCGTGGGGGTCCCAAACCGGGGCCTCCCGTCTAGACCGCGGGGTCCGAGGCCTGGGAGAGCCCATGGCACCCTGGTTAGCGAGCGTGGGGTGCGGGGCTGCGTCAGGAGGGAACGGCAGACCTGTGTGAGCTGAAGACCCTGCCGGGGCGGGAGAGCAGAGCCGGGGGAGAGGGAAAGCGGGGCTGCAGTGCAAGAATGGGGTGGGAGCAGGTGTTACCTGGTTGAGGTCTAGGGCTTTGTTTGCTCTGGGCCCGGCTCTGCCACATTCTGGTGGAGAGACGCCCCACCTATTGAGGCTTGGGAATTAGGACACCTCAGTTCGTTGATGAGTGGCATCCCTGCAGTATTAGCATCTCCGAACTGCTTAGGCACCAGCAGGAATAACTCCGCTGTATTAGGACCCGATCCAGGCATTTGCCTTTCTCTTGAAATAGAAGAGTATTCTGGCAGTGCCCATCACCCCCAAGTCGTAGTCGTTGTCTTTTTTTTTTTTTTATTTTAAACCTGGTGCCAATATTTTCTTCCCACTTTCTTCAATCTTACCATCTCACAGTCTTCCTAAATAAGACCTTTATATAGTAACAGTACATTTGTCTACTTTTCAGGTGGGGCAAGGGGAGGTTAGACATAATAAAAATCAGTTATTTAAGATCATTTAAAAACACTTAAAAAATACTTGACTTTTTGTTTTAGGTTCCTAATAATCCTAATCTTTGATCACAAAAGCCTTCATTTTCGTCTCTTTAGTAGTCAAAAAGCACAGACTTCTTTATAACTGAAAGAACTTTGACAAGACTGTCATACTCTGGGAAGGGTGGCTTTGAGGGGACAATGCGAAGGTATATGTGAATAGTTAAGGTGGCTGCCTCCAAACAATATTCTCTAATTGAAAATCTATTCATTTATGTTAGGTTTTTTTTTTTTTTTTAAATCCTCTTAACTTGGACAAGGTTACTATGAATGCATAAATGTTCTTTAATAAGTTTGATTTCTTAAATCAAAAAAAAGATAAGCAGAATGGAAATAAAAATTGCCATTACTGTCTTAGAGTTCTATTTGGAAATGTCTGGGGCAGAGGAAAATAAAGGTAGCAGGGGTATAGTCTATTGTGTAGGCTAATAGTGTATTGGTTTACAGAAACAAAATAGTAATTTTCTTTTAGGTAAATGTTTGGACTGATCCTTTGCAACCCATCTATCAAGAGTGCAGAAGGGGTGGGTGTCTTTTTAGAAGCATGGATACATTCATGTGTATATCTGGAGGCTAACACTTTAGGCCATCTATTCTCTTTTTAAAAGATTGTTTGAATAACTGATACAAATACTGATTTGTATCCCTTATAAAAGTATTGGGCTTTTCAATCTTCCTTAGCTATCCTTTATTA